AAAGTGCTGGGATTACAGGCATGAGTCACCGCACCCGGCTCACATTTTCTTTATCCATTCATCTGCTGATGGACTTTCACACTGCTTCCAAATTTTGGCTATTGTGAATAGTGCTGCAGTAAACATGGGAGTGCAGCTATCTCTTCACTATACTGATTTCCTTTCTCTTGGATATATATCAAGTAGTAGAATTGCTAGATAGTATGGTAGCTGTATTTTTAGTTTTTTGAGGAACCTCCCAACTGTTCTCCATAGTGGTTGTACTACTAATTTACATTCCTACCAACAGTGTATGAGGGTTCCCTTTTCTCCACATCCTTGCCAGCATTTGAAGCTGTAATTTGAAGGTCAAAAGTCCACATGAAAGAAAATTATATTTTCTGTCTAGTTTTGAGAAAAAGGGTATGTAACTTTTTCTTGCAAGTGGTAGCTTAGTATGTGCTTGCTGCTATCTTTAGTAACAAAGAAAATACTGTTTTAAAAAATGTACTGGTAATTAGAAAAGAAAAATTTCTCAGAATAAAATTAATTATGCCAAAACACATACTCAGTAAGTAGATATCCTCATATCTAAGAAATTGATACAATCTATTTCCTACTAAATTTAATCTCCAGGTTTAGAATGAGTTGGATCTAATTATTGAGTTTGATGACAGTAAAAATATTACATAGCTGTAGATGTTTAAATTTTGACACCATGATATGGATCTTTTTGCCAGGGTTCACTTTTAAAGTTCTGACATGAGTCTATAATGCCTGTATTATTTATAAATTGCCAAAAATGAAGTTAGAGCTATGGTAATGCTACTGTTTCATCTGACCTTAAAATGGAAATGCACATGTCATATTGTATAAGTGGCAGAAGGATATAGAAGAAAGACATAGAAATAAGAAACAGCTCTGGTTCATATTACTCCTTTTTTTAAAAATAGGTTATCTAAAATCAATTATTACAATGTTAACAGAGTATTCTACCCTAAAGCCAAAAGTGTATATAACACTGAAGAGATAAACACTGCATTGTTATCCTACCAGATAATTTCATAAGATTGATAGCACCTTTACATACACATTGATTCACAAACTAAATGTCATAGTAGTGGAAGGCATGTTAAACTTTTAAACTTAGGAGATTCCTTATCTTAGTATATTTTCAAAACAGTAACAAAAAAAAAAAAACCCTCAGATATTTTAGAAATAATGGCAAATTAGAAGTAATTTTAATTTATTGGCTGGGCATGGTGGGTGGCTCACACCTGTAATCCCAGCACTTTGGGAGGCCGAGGCGGGCAGATCACCTGAGGTCAGGAACTTGAGACTAGCCTGGCCAACATGGCAAAACCCTGTCTCTAGTAAAAATACAAAAATTAGCTGGGCATGGTGGCATGTGCCTGTAATCCCAGCTACCCAGGAGGCTGAGGCATTAGCAGGAGAATTGCTGGAACCCAGGAGGCAGAGGCTGCAGTAAGCCAAGATTGTGCCACTGCACTCCAGCCTGAGCAACAGAGCAAAATTCCATCTCAAAAAAAAAAAAAAAATTATTGATGTCTGCCTAAACATTTAATGTATATGAATTAAACACAAATACTTAAACTTCAAAATAGAACATTTTAGTAATTTTAAAATTATGTAAATTAAAATCAAACATGACTGTAAAAGTCAGTCATGTGCATTTGCATTTAAACTATTTTACAAATAATGCCTTTTATTTAGACATCAAATAAATGTTAATCTTGTCAATTCTAATATTCCTCAAAATACATTTCCTCAAATAGAGATCTTATTGCATACAAACTCAAGACACTGCTGCAAAAATATGTCAGGGTTTTGGTTTAAGAAAATTCATTCTAAAATTGGCAAAATAACTCAGTTTCTCTACCCATAATGTTATTAGCCTTGATGAAACTGACATGAGTAGTCAGTGTTATCTAGTACTGCTATTTACTACTCTCTCATGACTAAAGACCTCCAAGTCATTTGATACTTCTGACAAGGACCAAATTTGGTGGTTTTGGGGACCTTGGTAATGAGAGGAATTTTAAAATATAATAAACGATAGGAGCAATAAAAGACAAAACAAAAAATAAAAAATAAAAAACCCCAAACTCAATTCTCTTTTAAAAGTTCACTTATCGCTCAATACTTCACTTTTTTAGACATTCAACCCATTTTTACATAACCTTTACACTTTCCTCAAATCATATTAGTGACTTAGAGGCCAAAAGTATTTCAATTTTATTATGATAAATCTTAAAGCACCAAAATGAGAATTAAAAATATCTTAAGCAAGTAGTAATTGACAGAAGCTTTCAATTACCCATCTAGCTGGTATAAACATTGAAAGTTTTATTTTGAAGTTCCTAGAACATGTAACTATATAAAATGACATAATAGCTTACTGTAGTTCCATTGCTCAAGCTTCACTAAGAAACTGCAATGATTCAATTTTAGTCTTTCTGACCTAATAAAAAGGCAAAAGAGTTAAAATTTTTAAAGATTTACCTAAGTAAAGTTGATCTTTAGAAACAATGTTTTCCAAGCTGCTTTTGAAGACAGTTAAGTAGGCAGCTCTACAATTCATATAAAATATTTCCTCTTCAGTTTGTGGAAATTTCTTTGTTTGAGGACTTTCTGAAGGTGTTGATTTCTGACTGGAGAAAGCAGCATCGCTTCCTGGACTGATCGCCATTCTATTGGAAAATAATTTAAAAATTTGTCAATGTGAATCACTAAAATGCAAATGTCACCATGTCTTTTAAATATAGGGAGAAGAATCAAGATTTCATAAGTAGAAGAAAAAGATGAAAATTTATAACATACATATGAAAAAATCAAGATATTAAAAGTTTCATATGTGGAAGAAAAAGATGAATATTATAGTTTGTATATGGATGTATTATCATGTATTAAACAAGAATAAGCCCTGCCAGTTGATTTCTAATTTTAGATATATACATATGTATATATACATTGTTCAAGTATGTGATAATAGCCAAAAGAACAAAGACATAACATATGCGAAAGAAGAATCACTGAACAAAGGAAAAGCACACATCTATTTTCTCAAAATAAGAAAGTCAGATGCGACTCTTCATCAGGTTTTTAAGAAAAGCAAATCAGTTAACACATGTGAAGTATACACAATACTGCCTGGCATATAATAAGTGCTAAATAAACTTCAGATAATGGAAAACTCCACAATAATGAGAATTTGGATGTGAGTGGTAGTTGACATCCATCTTCCACAACACAATCAACAAGATCATTTCATTAACATCTCAATAATGCAGCCCCACATTTCAAATAGCTAAATTTTAAAAATCCCATTTATAGCATTATCATAGTTTTACTGTGTTCCTTTATTAATAATAATTAATATATTGGGATTTATATAGCACCTCTGTACATAAGAGCTTAAAGAACTGTCATATCTTGTCTTATCCCTATTACAGTGGTCAGGTATTTTTTGTCCATTTTACAGATGAGGAAATTGAGGGGTAGCAATGTCACCCAGCCAGCAGTAAGTGGCAAAAAGCCGTAAATTTCACTAACAGTTTCTTCTTTGTTAATGTGGATATAGGTTTACTGAACAATGGTTACTATGGGGTACTAAATTGTACTGGTGGTCTAACAGCTTCCAACATTACTCTACCCAGCTTTGACTTCTAAAAATACACTCCAACATGATAAATTGAACATTTCAAGTTCAACAATAAGATGACACAGATAGGGTCCCCTTCAGGACTCATTGGATTCCTACTCGGGAGGCCTAAATCACTTGCATCTTTTTGAATTATATAGATCTTTTACACTTGGGAAAGAAAGATAATAATCGGTTATCATGGATGAAGTACCCTATTTATAATACACAGGCCGCCTGCCTGACACTTTCATATTACACCAGATTTAGAAGGACCCCACAGGGATGCGGTGTCACAGTCTGGTTACTGCAAATTGGTATTACTATAATTAAGCATCAGAGTTTTAAACACATATGCGTGCATGCATCTCCTCACAAACGTGAAAGAAAACTGTTTTAAGAAGGAAGGGAGAATAAATTTCACTTTGCAATAAGCAATTTTTAAATGTAAGTATTTTTTAGGATCATCTCCAAATATTCTTTCCCAATAAGGCAACTCCCTCACGTGGAAATCCCAACGCAGAAATATGCCAGAATTTTATTCTTTTCCTTTCTGTAATAAGAGACCAAACTGAAGCTTAAATAAACATATAATTGCACCCCCCAGGCTTGGAAACCTCCTTTTTTAAAAACTCCAGCCCGAGACTGAGACAGGGGCCTAGAGAGTACATTGCAGCAAACGGCTTCATAAATAACAAGCCACACAACAGCAAGAAAAATAAACTGTTCACAAGCGCCTAAGGCTTCTACAGGGCCAAGTGAAAACAGAAAGCCATCCCGTTACCATCCCTACTCAGTGAAATACCTTTGCAGGTAATCTCGGGTACCATCTCTCTATTTTTGTATTCCTCTGGAAATAAAACCGCATTTATATGTACATTTTAGGTACACACATAGACCAAATGTTTATTACAGAGAAGTAAACAAAGCAGGCGAAGGAGGAGCCGCACAGAGAGGGACAAAGGGAATGAAGAGACAGAGACAGCGAGCTGTTTGCTACCTAATTCCAGCTCACAAACGAATAAACACAGCCAACTCCCTTACGCGATTCCGCGATCCTCTCACCGCAGCTGGACGATCTCGGCCTTTCTCTAATCACCATGGCAACTGCACCTCACTGCCACCGGAAATAAGATGCAGAGCCCTTCCCCAAACGATCCGGCTAGAAATCTACGAAGCGCTGATCCAGGGCGAACAGAGACAGCTGTGTTGCTCGTCTATCGCGGGTGTGGCATAGCACGAGTAGTGAGAGAGGTTGCTCTGTTACACCCATTAGGAACTGGATGCTGTCCTGGGCCTAGACTTCTCGCCCGCTCCTTTGCTCGCGCACACCCGGATCCTTCGTCGCGGGGAGTGTGTTTCCGCCGGGCCGCGGTGGGCGTGACACAGGGTACAGCGCGCGCTTTTCATGCCTCTGGCGTTTCCTTTGGCGGATTTTCTGTTCTCAGAAGCTGCTGGGTTCGTTTATTCAGCCGCAGTGGTGCTTCCCCGAATCTCAAAATGCCGTAGGTATCTCCTTCCCAGATATTGCTATTTTGGGGGCCCCTCTGCAAGAAGATTAGATATTATGTGGCCCAATAGCCTTTCTTTTTTTCCTGTTTTTTTTGGATTATAAACTTGTCTCCTGTTGACCAACAGTTCACCTTGTTTGGGACCCCCAACTCCACTCTACGTCCCCTCCAGGAGTACTCATGCAATAGTCCTCCTTCACTTTTCTGTTACTACAATGCTTTTAACAGATTTTGTAAACTTTCGGCTGTATTTAGGTGATGTCTAACTTGAAACAACATAAATGAGGTTAATACACAGAGGATGGGACAGAGTAGATGAATACACGCCTTCGTAGTTTGTCAGTCTCTTGCCTCGTTTAATGTGGCGCGTTCATGTAAACTCGTGGGAGAACTCATGGACTGGGTCTAGATACCTGGATTCCAGTTACTGTTGGGCAAGTCACGTATCGACTCTGGGCTTCAGTTTTCTTACTTATACAAATAAGTTTGTACTGCATGATTAAATTTCCATCCATCGCCAATAATCGGATTATTGAGAATGAACATAGTGGGAATAGGCATTGTGCTAGATAATATTTATCTGGTTTTCCTATCCTTCATCCATCCTATATTGAGATGTATAAAATAGCTACTACCCTATAGAAACAAAATAATTAAATAATTTGGCGGGGGGCGGGAGTGGAGTGGAGTGGATATCAAACACCTGTAATTTATCCCTGGCTGCCCTTGTCCTCAGGCTGATTTACGTACTCCCTCTAGTGTAACCTATTCCTTAGTTTATTTCAGGATTAAAATGCAAATTAATACAGCTAGGGAAATATTTGTATGAAATAGGAATTGACATGAAAGTGGAAAGCTGTACAGAAATGATAACCTATATTTATTGAATCTTGAATTACCATGTGGGTGCTGTGTTAAGCAGTTTACGTTTTTTCATTGAATCCTAAAAGACTTTAGGCGAGAGGGGCTGCTATTAGCTTTACAGATAAACCCATCACTTAATATGGCGTTCAACACAGCTACCAATAAATGCATGTTTTACTGATGCCCTTAAAGGTTATGGATTATTAAGGAGGTTTTCCTTTCCCTAGAATTAAGCAAAGAGACTTGTCTCCTTACTGTTGCATTAGAAAAATCATCTAGTTCTCACATTTAAACAAAGCTGCAAAGATAATATCTCTCTCACTCACACTCTCTCTCTCTCTCCCTCCCTCCCTTCCCACCCCTCTCCCTCTCTCCCTCTCCAAGAACACAGTGAAAACAAACGTGTATTTGCCAAACAAATGGTAATACCTCTGAACTGTATATAGGAGAGTGGGGAAACCAAAAAACCATGAAAAGTGGAACTTTTTTTTCTTTTTTTGAGATTGAGTCTCACTCTGTTACCCAGGCTGGAGTGCAGTGGCACAATCTCGGCTAACTGCAACCTCTACTCCCCCAGGCTCAAGCGGTTCTCCTGCCTCAGCCTCCTGAGTAGCTGGGATTACAGGCACCTGCCACTGTGCCCAGCTCATTTTTGTGTTTTTAGTAGAGTTGGGGTTTCATCATCTTGGTTAGGCTGGTGTTGAACTCCTGACCTTGTGATCCACCTGCCTTGGCCTCCCAAAGTGCTGGGATTACAGGTGTGAGCCACCGTGGCCAGCCAGTGGATTCATTTTTAAGTGATGTTGAAATGGTGACTATTGGTATGTACTTGGAAGACTAAATGTGTAATACAACTTATAGGAAGGTGTGATCTGTCTTTGTTCTAATTTCTTAGAACCTTGAGAGGAAAAAACTTCAATACAGAAATGAGTAGTTGTGGAAATATATATGGTTCAAATAGATCTAAAATAAATAAGAATCAGCAAATGTTCCGTGACAATAAAGTGGATGGATGAATCTTAACATAATGAGAATAACCAATTTGTATAAGACTACATCTGTTATCCTTATAAAGCTTAAGAACAAGCAAAAATAACCTACTTGTGGTTATGTATGCATATGATAAGATTATTGTTAAAAGGCAGAGAAATGATAAATACCAAAATTCAGTTTAATAGATGCCTTTTGAGGGAAGCAAATAGATGCATGTATACCCAGTCATATTGGTAATGATCTAGTTCTTAAATTGTGTGGTGAGTTTATGGGTGCTTCTTTTCTTATGTTTTATAACTTGCACAGCTTACATTTACTTACTACTATATATCATGTACTACTTAAAATATTTTTTAAAAGAATTTAGAGATTACCTATATTAAGTCCTCACAAGTGTAGCTTTCTGTGCCTTCTCTTTGATCCTTTGGAGAAAACAGATGAATTAGAGAAATGCTGCTGTTGGTTTCATTAAGCTAATCATTTTCTCATCCAATCTTGTTCCTCTTTCTATGTACATTATAAAATTAGTGGCACAGTCATTTCTCTGTGTTGAAACCTTCACTTTTTAAAGATTTGAAGTAGAAAAATCATGGACTTTGGAGTAAGACAAACCAGGATTTGAATCTTTTTTTTTTTATTTTTTTTATTTATTTATTTTTTTTTTTTTTGAGACGGAGTTTCGCTCTTGTTACCCAGGCTGGAGTGCAATGGCGCGATCTCGGCTCACCGCAACCTCCGCCTCCTGGGTTCAGGCAATTCTCCTGCCTCAGCCTCCTGAGTAGCTGGGATTACAGGCACGCGCCACCATGCCCAGCTAATTTTTGTATATTTTTTTTAGTAGAGACAGGGTTTCACCATGTTGACCAGGATGGTCTCGATCTCTTGACCTCGTGATCCACCCGCCTCGGCCTCCCAAAGTGCTGGGATTACAAGGATTTGAATCTTGAGTCTGTTAACCAGCTGTTTGCTACTTAGTGTCCTCATTGATAAAATAGTTGCTCAAAAAATATTTATTAATTGATAAAGTTGCAATTTTGAAAAGATTTCATTCTATATAGACAGATTTCACACCACGTTTATATTTGCATAACACTGAAGTCAAACATGACTTTTTAGTAGTTCTTGTTATAAGTAATCAAATCTCATTCTAGACTTTTTCTTCTTCTCCCTTTTCCTTTCTAAAGCTTCCTTTAAAAAGTACCATTTGCTTAGTCTTTCTAATTAGTGTACATCATTATGCTAGTTCAGCCAAGGATACTGTCTCTGAGAGTTAACTTTGTTGTGTTCCAAGCTATGACTGAACTAAAGCTATAAATGTGGAATAGCATTAGTGTTGTAGAAAACAATTCGTACCAGTAACAGAGTGAGGTCCATTCTGCTAATGTATTTATAAAGTGAGAGTTTTCTGAGAGAACTTTAAAATATACTATATTTTCCAAGATAAGGGAAAATGAATATAAGCATATTCTGGATCTGCTAATCTACTGTATTGTGTCTATATGCCGTAATCATGCTGATGCTAATGCTAGGTACAATGATTTTTATTTTATGGATTGACTGTAAAGAAACAAGTGGGTGAAATGATATGTCAGGCCAAGTAAAAGTTAACCATTAAATAAGCATCTTTTGAATTATAGTGGATATTCAAAGTTGTGTAATTTCTTTTATAAATAATGTGTCTTGCATTTTAAAAGAAGATTGGTGAAATTGTTAGTATTCGATGTAAGAAAAATGTGAAATTTAAATGCAATTTTTTCCTGCTTGTGAAAGTCAATAAAGTCTAAGAGAGGAAGGTATAATAGAGCCTTTTTGGCTGAGCATGGTGACTTTCACCTGTTTATTTAGTGTATGATTTTTTCACTTCATAATAGTGTGAAAGCAATATGCATTCAGTAGAAACTGTACTTCAAGTGCCCGTACAATCATTCTGTTCGTTACCTTCAGTATAGTATTCAATAAATTACCTGAGATATTCAACACTTTATTTTAAAAGAGATTTTGGGTTATATGATTTACACAACTATAAGTTAATTTAAGAGCTCTCAGCACATTTAAACTATAATGTTCAGTAGGTTAAATGCGTGAAATGCATTTTCAACTAATGTTTTCAATTTACAATGGGTTTGTTGTAACATAATCCTGTTGTAAGTCAAGGAACATCTATATATTGTTTTGCCTGCAACTTCTTAAAACGGCAGGAATGTTTAAAGCAAAAATTAAACACTACAATGGGATCATATGTACATATAATATGTACGATGCCAGTGGTACAAAGCACACAGGGAGTTGACTATAATGTTACAAGATTCTTACGTTTTACATGAAGAAGTACTGTATTATTATAACTAGATAGACTGTGATATGTTAAAAAGGCATATTGTAATCCCCAGAGTAACCTCTGAAAAGCTGAAGAGGCTTACCTAAAAAACAAATAGAGGAATTGAAATGGTATATTTTAAAAGAAGGGGGGTAAAAAAGAACAAAGGAACAAAAAAACAGATGGGACAAATAGAAAACAACTATCTAAATGGTAGACTCAACCAGATAATTACATCAAGCTTAAGTGCCGTAAAGATGTCAATGAAAAAGGTCGAGAATATTATCAGGCTAGATTTTTTTTTTTTTTTAAAGGAAGTCCTAACTTTTTACTGTCTATAAAAAAAAAAAAAAAAAAAAAAAATTGGGGGAAAATAGTCTAATAGGAGAGAAAACAAATGATCAATATCCAGAATGAAAGGGCAAATTGTGCTCAGATGAAAGAGAACACGAACTATGAATATCCAAAATGAATGAGCAGAATAGCACTAAAGATACATACTATAGATATTAAAAGAGATAATATCATTAAAGCCTTTATTCCAATAAACTTGGGAACTTATACAAAATTGATAAATTATTTGAAAAATACAACTTAACACAATGGCATAAGATGTAATAGAAAATCTGCATAATTAAGAAAATAGAAGTTTTTACTAAGAATCTTCCCACAAAGACCCAGACAATTTTATTGGTTAATTGTAACAAGAACACACCCATTCATGAGAAAATAAAACCCTCCGCAAACTAAGAATAGAAGGGAACTTGTCATTTCTTTGAAAAACCTATAGATAATATATTTAGTATTGAACACTTTTTCTAAGATTAGGAACAAGGCAA